TTCCGCCGACTATTTTTGTCCCTTGTTCTCACTGTGTTCGACTCGGTTCGCTGTTGAACTGCTGTGAAGGGATGATGGTGGGAGAGAACTTGTTAGTTCGTCTTGATGGAATGAAGCCAACTTGAATCTGCGAACTGGTGGGACTATGCACGCAAACAATTCAAATCCGAGGGTGAAATCTACGCAGTGATGATCACCAATTGATAGCCGAAGTTGTACTGCCGAAGCTGGAAAAGGAAGTATTACTAAGAATCGTACCGAAACGTTGGCTAAAATACGTCGATGGCACGATGGTCATCTTGGAGAAATCGGAGCTAGAAAGAACACAATATAATCAATAACATATTCCTCCTCCCCCTCCGAATCCCACCCCAAATCACACAATTAACACGGACCAGGCTTAAGTTCCAATGGCAGGATCAGCCATATCAGGTCTTGTGTAATTGAGACAAAAAACAATAACAACAGTCACCATTTGAATAATCATTAATTTTGTTTCCTCTGTTCTATACAAAATAATTTGATATATATATAAAATGTGACGTACTAGCCAGTTGATGAATCACCGAAAAAGAAGCTTTTTCGCTATACTGCATTTTTCATTCAATGCGTGTCGCTGGTAGGTTCCATGGGATCAAACTTATAATGGAGACGAAAAAGGATAACCAACTGGCATTTTCAGATACCTTGATAATTAGCACGCCATCAGAAAAACTGGAGACAACAGTCTACCTCAAAGCAACGCACACGGATCAAATCCTAAACTTCAAAAGTAATCGTCCACCCAGCCACATTTGATACTGTGTTGGGACCCCATTCGGAAGAATCCAAACGCACTGCAGCACCAACTTACCCAAGAAGAAAGACACCTATTCAGAGTGTTTGTTCGTAATGGCTAAACCAGCAACTTCATCAAAAGAACTCTGACTCAAAGCAGTAAACCAACAACAGACATACAGTCGGGAAAAAGAACACCAAGGACTTTCGCAAATGACGGCAAGACTGCTCGAATCATATGAGATTGAAGTGGCCCCCAAACCAATTGCCTATCTAAGGAGACTCCCTTCAAAAACAAACGAGAGAGCAATGGAGAAGGACAAGGGGAATGTTATCTATGAAATAAACTGCAAGAACTGCCCAAAACATTATATCGAACAAACTGAGGGAAAACTAGCAACAAGGAACCGTGAACGTCAATCGGCATTCAGGAGGCCTCACCCAATATCGTTGATTTCCCTCCACGAAGACCAAGGACATCAATTCGACTTCGAATCAGTGAAAATCATCGACCAAGCCTGGTGAAAACACTCCAGAGAATTTCTCGAAGCTTGGCACCCTTCAATCAACTCAATAAACAGGCATATTGAACTGGAGCACGTGTACATGCCAACGCAACTCAGAGACCATATGACGCAACACAATGCAACGGCGTGACCTGAGAACAGACAAAAATCCGCAATCAACAAGGAATAACAACCCTCATCATCACCCCTCGCACCAGT